TATACATATATATATATATATATATATACATATACATATATATATATGTACACAGATCACTATTTGGTTATTTCGACTATTAAATTACTAAGTAGATGGAAAAACCTGCACTCCAAAAATAAAAACTGTGTAGATGAAGGTTTTAAAGTATATCTGCTAGAAGAAAAGAGTATTAAAAAGCACAGGATCATCAGAGATTATCTAATTACTTACAAATACACCAACAACTGATGAAGTGCAGAAAGAATTGGACAATGTTAAAACCTGTAAATAAAAAGTGACTTTTGAAAGCTTAGGAAAGGAAAAGTAGTTTAGGAAACGGAAAGCACTTTGAGTTTGGAATCAACAACTGAAAGAAGCGTTGAAAAAGAAAGCATACTTGAAATATCTTTAAACATGTAATGAAGAAAGTAAGAAAGAATATAACTGTTGTAAAAAATGAAGCCAAAAGGCTATCTCGTATAAGCACATCATGAGGCGTGGGATCACTTACTAAATAAAATAAAAATGATGCCCATGAGAAGCAAAGTATTAGCCAATAAAATAATGGAATTACTCAATCAAAGAGAAAATGATGCCACTCAATTAGAGGTTATAGATGAAAAGAAAGGACTACAACACTATCTTTGGTACAACCTACTGGAATAAAACTAAGAACAAAAGGAACAGAGGTACAAGAGGAACAAAAATAACAAAAGAAAGATAATGTTGACCCCACTAACAATAAAAGAATTATTTCAAGTATTAAAGAAATGAATGGAAGAAAAGCTACTGGTACAGATAATATGAATGTAGTATTACTAAAATTTGCAAGCACTTTTCTCCATTGAAGACTATTACATCTCTTCAATCAGGGTTGTCAAAGAAGTACAATACCAGAAGAACGGCAAACAGTCCTATTAATATTTGTGTTTAAAGAGGTGATCAGAGTAACTGAAAATTATAGAGGTATTAGCCTCTTAAACACAAGTCTATGGTAAAGTGATCCAAATAGGATGAAGATGATAGCTGAAGTTATATGATTAGAAAAACAAAATTGCTTCTGAAAGGGAAGATCCTGGACAGACAGTGTTTTTATAGTGCATCAAATAATAGGGAAAAGAAGAGATGTTAATTTAGATACACACATGGCATATTGGATTCATTGATTTTGAAAAAGCCTTTGACCAAGTAAATAGGTGATTATGTGTCATAATGGAGAGAAGACGCTTTCCAGAAGCCAACAACATAAATCGCAATTATACTAAATTTGAAAAAAAAATGATGTTACAAAACGTTTCCACTAATAAGAAAAACTTTTCACTATCCAATTGGAATATGTTATGAATAGTAATAACAATAATAATTATTATTTTTATTACATTAATTATGATTATAATAAAAATAGTAATTATATTATTATTATTATTATTATTATTATTATTATTATTATTATTATTATTATTATTATATTATTTATTATCATAAATCAATCAACAAAATTATTTTTAAAAGGGAAATTCTTAACAAGGAAAAATCAAATTGGCCGAGCACGATCCCTCACTCCAGGATGTACTTAGATTCACCGTTATACAATGCTGCATTAATAAACACAGCAAATTATTAATTGTAATTGAATTTCTTATTCAAATTCAGTATTATAGTATTTTTTTTTAATCCAACACACTCTAGGTAGATTCGTTGGATTATAGAAACATGTCTGTATTACAATCAGAGGCACACTTAGAATGTTTGGGGAGGGAAGGGAAGGAGTTGCTGGTGTAATGTTCTGCTGACTTTATGTTTTCTTATAAAGAAGTTTAAGAATGAATATAAAATATAATGTGAATTTTTATATTTTATATTCAATATTTTTTATTCACTGAATGTATTTGTATTTGCAAATAATCAATAAAATGTATTTGTATTTGCAACACTGTCAATTCTTTCGCAATAGTTACTAGTTATTTTTTTGCAATTTCTAAAATAGAGAGTTCGCCGGAAACGGCTCGAGGCTAATGCCGGAGCAGTACCCTAACAAACGGGCCACGGACCGCTCACGATCTCACCTTCCTCTTCTTTGTCCAATCTCATCCATTTTACACACAGATACACTAACATGCGCTACACTGCCACACATGCCGGGAGACCCTTCAGGAGCTAAGAGTTTGTCCTGGCTGGGGCGGTGCCCCGCTGGTGGGAAAACCCCGCTAACCGACGGTAGATCGGCGCCGGATCTCGCCATACAGCGGGGAAAGTTTACCGCCACCTCACGAGCCAAAAACATGTTACGCTTACGGGACTAATGACCCTGGTAGTTGACGTGCCCGGAATCACTAAACAATCAATCAATCGCCGAAATAGGAGCCTGCAACATTATTTAGGCGCCCAATGCCCTAACCCCAAGAAAATATTTGGAGCCGTTTTCGAGAAAATAATTGTTTAAAAATTGTCTATATTTCACGCAAAATTCCGCGAAAACTAATCATTTTCGAAAAATTGTCAATGAACTTATTTAAAGATGTCTTTGAAGAACAGATTTCATTCAAGAAAAAATGTCTATCTTCAATATTAAAGTTGTACGAAGACACCAAAAAAATGTACTGAAATTTTCGAAAATTCAGATTTCATCTGAAGTTACACTTTTGCCAGTTTTAAACGTTCTTTACGCTAACCCAGGAAACGTTTTTAAAATTTCAAAAAAATTGGAGTATTTTACAGCAAATTTTGAAAAATGTACTTAAGGCTTCATGTAAGGTACCCTTGAAAATCTAAATATATGTTTTAAACTCGCATGTCTTTGAGTTTGACCAGATCGATAGGAGAATATTAATTTAAGAGAAAACCATGGTGGAAAGAGATCTTTCCATAATGGCAAAAACCGCCTGAACATTTTATACGCTAGCGTTGAACACTGACGAGAGATTGTCAATCAATTTGTTTGGTATCAGGGACCCACAAAACGTGGGTTCTGACCACACGTGTTAGAGAAAGTACTTTACTATATAAACAAACCAGTTTTATTCACATTTTGGTTAACACCAAGGACCAACACGGGATTTTGTGACGAAAAATCGCACATTTCCGTCGCAGCAATAAAAACATTCACTTTACTACGTAAGTGCGTAGAAAGTAAAAGGATGAAGAGTTATACCTGCTTAAATCTGTCCATTTTGCATGGATGTCTGAAGCGCAATTGGCTTTGACGAGAAAGAGTGATGTACAATGACTGTAACAAGAAATGACAGAATTAAATAGGAGGAAATATTCCAGTTTTAATTTTAATTTTGAGAATAATATCAAAGGTAAATATATGATTTTAAACATTTCACCTTTCAGTAACTTTGGAGTACTTCTTTGTGCAGAGGATGTACATCTGCAGCAAATCAGTACCATTTTCAAAGATTACCAGTGAGGGAGGTTTTGTAGCCAAAGTCTGAAACTAACAAATAATTTTGTAAATATAACAAATAAAAAAACTTATATTAAACAAGTGAAAGTTGGGAATCAATTTATAGTCATGCCCTGTGTCCTATGGCTGACTACGGGTCATGACCGACCAGCGGTGACTCGCTCTCTTGGCCATGGATGGTGGTGTGGTTAGCACGAAGACATCCTTTCACCGTATGTTCCGGTTGTCATAACCTTAAGGTGGGCTTTCTCATCATCACATAGCAATAGATACTGGGACATTTGTAAAAAAAGTAGAGAGTAATTATTTTGGTATAGTCGGGAATCGAACCCAGAATTGCGCCGTGAAAAGAGAGGACGCTAACCAACCAACGAACCACCGAGGGTCTAATTTATAATACAAGAAGTAAAAAATTAATACAACCGAAAAAATGTTTCTCAATGATATATCAGAGTGGTACAGTGAATACTGCGCAATATATACATGCTTATGGTGCGCTCATATATATCCTTCAAAACTAAAAAATTGCCAAATAATTTTGTTTAGCGGGAAGTGATTTTTCTGGCAGAAAAGATAGGGGGAAAATTTTTTTTTCTTACCTTACAAAATTCCATATTGCATCAGCAATAATTTCATAATTGTAATTGCATTAGTAGCCAACGTTTTTATACTCGAGTTCAAAGGCATATAATTTATTGGAAGTCAATAATTTAAATCTGAAAAATTAAAACAAAACAATAATGAGTTAATCTGTCGTATACATTACGCAAAATTCAAGATAACGACATATTTTGTAATATCCGTGGGATCGTATTACGGCTGACAAGTCATGTGGACGGATGTCTGCATTAGTAGCAAAATGCAAAAGAACACCGAAAATCACATCTCTTCGCAATCTACATATTCGCCGGTTAATTGTCTTTTCACCGAAACCATTTCGGCTCCGTATCTGAAGTGTGCGTGGAAATTTGGAAAGCGAACAATCAAAATAAAGCCTTCAATGTAAGTCCATCTGGATAACTCCGGGCCGCCAGCAAGAAAAGATCACACATGCGCAGTAAGCAACACAATCGCCCCACACTCCTACGCTCGTCACGTCACCTGCAATGGAATGTGGTACGCGGATTGATTTGATTGGCTGTCACACAAAGATGTGGCGATGCGAAAGTCAGGATCTCGTTGTAGACGTACGCTGTATCTCAAAAGGCAGAAAGAATACAAATTTACAACTTTTTGGTGTAACAATTAGTCTGACCATATTTCCTTGCGACGGGACGAGGTTCAATTCACTTTCTGTATGCATGAGCACAGGAACAAGATACTTACTAGCCCTATAACTCAAAGTATTTTCCACAGACACTTCACACAAATGCAAGTACAATTCGACGTCAAGAAGACGTGGACTGTTCTCATCACTACTGTTGAACCATGATTACGTCTGCGACGATATCTTACGTTTTACGAGAAAATATTTTCGTAAACCAGGGGAAACTGGGCAGATTTCCGTGAACTGGGACAAAATTGAAAAATGACGGGACGATTGAACTTGCCTAAAAATTGGGGCTTTTGTTCCAAACGGGACGTGCGGTCACCCAAGTAACAACCTCTTTTGCGGACTGCAAGGGGTTTCACCAGCAGCAACAATAGGAAACAACGATGTAGGAACGCGCCTGAATAGAATCGTGACTGACGACCTCCTTGTAGAACCGTGAACCATAGATGTGGCCTGGAATATATAATATGTCTGGAAAGCAAATACCTATATTGTTCCCTTCATTTGTTGCGGACCCTATCAAAAATTTCGTTTAATTCGGTGGCTATATATTAATAGCCAACAGCACCGTTTACAACATGCGAACGAAATACAGGTAGCAATAAATTGGCTTCTACATCTTTTACCACTCGTTCATACCGCCATCTTCACTGTGCCCAGTGAACGTCTATTCATTTCCCTCCTCCTCACCTCCCTCTTTATTTGATAACAAATCATTTAGGCATCCACCTAAAATCGAAATTTGATTATCAAATATAGAAAAGTTCGACATACTGCACATCAATATGCATATCGCACATAGCATTTCAATATACCATGCATTTCAAATTATTTATACACACTTGGCGAAAGACGACAGAAAAAACTAATATTCAGAACGCTTCTAGAATGGGAATTTCGCGTCAAAAATCAAAATGAAAATGAAGAGGCGGTATTTTCCAGCTTACTCCTCATAATTCGGAATATTTTATCACTTCTTACCTTCCAATTGATATGCCACGCAGCAACGCTCTCCAAACGCGAACATGTCCGAAGGCTGACAAGCGAAAAGGAAAGAGCTATCAAGGAAATACGTTCTTATTACTTTTCCCGACGAGAAAACTTCGCGTTGCGCATGCGCGATGTGCAGGTCTCCCTCCCACTTTACCCCCACCCCGACCTTCACGGTGAACGCAACGCCACCTGCCAGCGCGACACCGGCTAGCGAGCAGAATAAAGCAACGGGAGGAATGTTGCTACCACAGCAATCGTAGCAACCCGTAGCATTCAACTTCCACGTGAGAAACGATATTTCCGGCTCCCCATTGAATACTCATAGTAGACTTCAGAATTAAACAATGAATGACAGCTGGTATCAACTGATGTCACTGCGTGCCTCTGAACGGGAGGTCCTAGGGTTCGACTCCCTACAATGACAGAGTTTTAGACACTAGCTACATAGCTAGGTCGAATTCAGTCATTGTCTGCAAAAAAATTCTAGCAGCCGGCTGCTCTGATAGATACTTTTCCGCGTTTTTTTTAAATTTTTTTTATCAAAGCCAGTCGAATGCCGGAGCTACTGCTCTGCTTTTGCCTGGAAAACGTCCAGATTTTTAGGGTACTTCCTAAGGAACGGGCCAAGAACCGCGCGCGACATTTCCTCCTTTCTTATCCTATCCTCAACCCTTATTTACACTTACACTTACATGCACTAAACTACCACACATGCCCGGAGACCCGCCAGGAAGGTTTGAGGTTGCCCCGTCGGCGCCAAATCTCGCTATTCACAGGAAGACCATCGACACCTCCCGAGGTACAAAAAGCATGCACTACACTTACGGGACAAATTACCTTCTCCGTTGACACGCTTGAAATCCCTAGTCAATCAATCAACCATGAATGAAGATGTTCCTATAGGGTAGATTATTTTACGCCTGGTCTGCGCAGGACTAGATACATCTTATCACAAGACGATAATGGTTTACAACAAACGAAACAAATATTAAACAATAATTTGCTATGATCTGCAGCAATGATAAGGAGGTTAACACACTAACTTCTAAAACCCGGTCGAGGTGAGGGGAGTATGAATATCAAGTAGTCTCGAAATTCTCCGTCACATTTATAGAGGCCCTCGCTACCATTGGGTCTACCCCAATTATGAATTTTGACTTCCTCGACTTATTTCGTAAGAGAAAGTATTGCAATTGTCCGCCGGAAAACTACTATTTTTCGTCAGAAAATCCATAATTACGGGCCCTGATAACGAAAGAGTGATAGTTCCTCTTGTTTTTATTATAGTAAATTTACTTCCTCTAACAAGTAGTGTTCTCAGAATCCACGTTTTCTGAGCGCTTAATACCGAAAAATTTGTCGACTGCATGCCCGTCCGCGTCTGTTCTGTCTGCATCGTTTTGTCTCCTTCAATAAAATATTTGAAAGATATTGATAATAAGGAAAGAATTGTTTAATGCTTCATATGAATCTTTTATTTAATAATCATAAATACTGAATTGTGATATGTGTCAGGGTGGATCCAGAAAGTATTTCAATAAAAAGCAATACCAGTTTGAACTGTGCCCTGTACAAATATTTTCAAAAAATTACACTTTTATAGAATTACATTTTTGTCTTGAAATGCTGTCTGCTTAATTATAATATACCTTTAGAATATAATCTCATCATTAAGAGCTCATTATATTTAATAAATTGAGTAGCACTAAAAACATTTTATTTTTTGTAGGGTTCAGGAGGGCGCATGGCTCTCACCATTCCCCATTCCCAAAAACATCAGGTTTTTATTACTGGAGGCTACAAGACAAAGGTTTTGTAGTCAATACCATTGGGCAAATTAATAATGCCAACAAATGTTCACTGTCTCAATTCTCCTGTTTATTATTGAAACTTTATTTTCTCTGTTTTTACTTTTCATTTTAACAATTTTATATTTCATCCATTAATCTTGTATTATCTTCAGTACTGTAGTTATATTACTTTTAAATTTGTCTATTAAAATATTACTCTTTTTAATTAACTTAATTTTTAATTTTGAAAATTTTCTTTTAATTTAGATTGAAAAATATTAAATTCGACCCAAAGGGCATATATGAAATGCTTCCAAGTTCCTAACAAGACATACACCTATTCAAGCTAAAAATGTGAGTGATATATGTTAGATGTCAGTAGTTTTTGAACCATAAACATATAAGAAATTAAAAAGAATTTACTTTAATTATCAAATTTGTATTACTCTATTGCAACTTGTCATTTTAATAGGAGTGCTGTGAAGGAGTTGATAGTGTGTGCAGTGCAGCGTGTCACTGTTAATGATTTTTCCAGCCATCTGTAATGTATTTATCGAGTTTTACATATTTTTAGAAAGCGGTTTTAATAATTGGCAATGGTAAATACTTATCATTACCAATTGCTATTAGCAAAGATACAGCAAAAGAAGGGCTGTAAAAAACAGCACATTTCCAGTTAGGCTTTGTTGGCTATAAATACTTATAAACTGGAAAACGACACAAACAGAAAATTTCAATTGGACTAAATTTATGTTTTGCTCTTTACTTCTATTTCCTTTCTTATGTTCTTTTAACATTTAACTCTGAAGTTTAGTTTTAATACATTTTACAGTTTTATATTATTTTTTTATTTTTTTTATTTTTAGACAAGTATTTTTATTTTAAAACTGCTATTACTAACTTTTTGTGTCATTCTACAAATAAAAAGAAATAATATTCAGCTATTCCCATTTTTATTGGTGAAGCAAATATTATCTTACTGTGTAAACCAGCTGAGCCTTTAGAACACAGTTTGACAAGGCCTACATGACAACATATTTTAAAATTTTTGCTTTCACTGAAAAGTTGCTAATAAAGATTTAAAACATTTCTTTGTACTGGAGCACCAAGTAAAGTTGTGACATGAAACCTTCCATCATTCCAATATTTTCCATTAAAAACACTGATTTCCCAAAACTTAATTTTGTTTTTGGTGAAGGAACTTTGGGCCTTGAGGCATGTGAAGACTTGATCACCATGGAATGAAAAGGACAAGAAATAAAGTAAATAATTCACACTTTAGTTTCTTTTATAACTATGGGACTGTAAAGTTTACATAATGAGTCTAGAACCAACAAGTGATTTACACAATTTTTAGATTTTTTTTTTTAAACCTTTACAAATGTACTTCATGTTTTTAATAAACATATAATTTCACACTGTGAACAAAATGATGTATTTTTTCTGTTTTTTGTTATTAATTTTTGGAAATAAATTATTCATTTCAAAACTTGACACATCTACTACCAGGATAATTGTAGGTCTGATAAAATTATTTCAGTTTTAATAATTAGGTCATTGTGCAAATATCCAAGATTTTCAAAATTTAATAGTAGTATACAATCTGTAATCCACATTTGTTGCAATTAATGGTGCTTCGTTCGTTAGTGTGGTAATAACTTAACTTAGAAGAGTTAAAAACTGAATTACAGAATTATGAAAAATTAACAAATGCAATTTTTGAGTTGAATAATGGAATGTGTTTATCATCACCCATGCAAATAAGTTAATTTTTTATGTAAATAAAATATTTGTGTTACCAGATTTTTAAATGAGGAATATCCATCTGTTTGAAAACCTGATATCCCAAGAAAAAACTGTTGTAATTCCAGGGTTCAGAGCACTTCACAACGTAAAAATCAGTTAACTAAACTGAAACAACTGACCAAACAAATTTTTTTTTCTGAAGACCTGTGTTATGATTGATACAAACGCCAAATTCTGAATACTTGTTAGGACATAAAATCAAAAACTTCTCTCTACTGGCCACTTTACTTTTATAAAAAAGTAATAATTTAGCTTATTATTGAACAATTGGCCACACATACCTTCATTCTTCTTCAAAATGTCCTTTCTGTATCCCTGAGAATGGCTAATTTCTGCTGTTGTCAGTCTGGGATGAAACAACAATATAAACAATTATGAATATTAATTTTATATAATAATAATTCTGCTATTTTAATAGGCATAGTTCATGACATTATTGATTTTGTCACAATAATAAAAGCAATCATTTAATATTTACCTTTAAGTTAATTTCTAGTCTACAAAATACTTATTGAATGGTTAATTAATATTTTCGGGATTAGTTTGCCATCTTGATAATAATAATAATAATAATAATAATAATAATAATAATAATAATAATAATAATAATAATAATAAATCTTTTTAATTATAGAACATAATAAAAAAACGGTCTAACAGGGCAATTCTGAAACTTGTCTAGTTTCTCCTCTCACCAGAGATCTTCATTGTTCAATTGTCAAAAATCCTGTAATAATCAATTTGCAACATCACATTACCAAGCACATAGTCTACAACATCAATGTCTATGGTGAAAATAAAACAGCAATACATGTAAGAATATATGAAGTCAGAAAATGACAAAAAGTGATTATGAAAACTCAATAAAATAAACACACAATTAATTACGAATTGTAGGCCTTGTTCCCTATTTCTATATTATTCAAGAGCATTCTAGGAATATATAAAACATGGACTGCATGTGTACAATAAATAAAACATTAACAGTCAGTGATTAATAAATATCTTACAGCTCAGAGAAATCAAGTGTGAAGTAGTGAAAATAGAAATATTTGACTGACACTAAAAAACAATACTATAAAAATAAAGAATTTTGACCGTGAGATTCTGAATCATTGTTCCATATTCTAAGAGCAGCCAGATACTAGTATTTAGGCCAGTTGCAAGCAACCATAAGTGACCAGCATTTTTGCGTTCGAATGTGAACGCAAATTCATCAACGCGATTCATGGTGATTCATCAACGAACTTAGTCTACCTCGTGTAGAATGTCTGTTTAGCGCCTAATGAAACTTTTAGCAACATTTACGTACTAATCGTCTGGTGTGGTGGAAAAGAAGAGACCCAGACCGCGGCAACGGACAATAGCAAGCGACGGGACAAGAAGCAGCACCCACGCTTTTGAGTGACTCGAGCCAGCACCGCGGCCCGACGGCGCGGCGCAGCGAAGGCCGATCGCCAGGTTCTGTACCACGCTCTCCCCTCCCCCTCTTTCTCTCTCTCCCTCCCGCGCTATCCCACTCCCCTCACTCCCCCTCCCTATCTCTCCCCTCCCCTCTCTACTGCTTTCTCCCTGTCTTCACGTCTCTCCCTCTCTCCTCCCTCTCCCACTCCTCCGGCCTCTACCTCTCTCTTCTCTATCTTCCTCATTCTCCGTCTCCCCGGGAAGTCCCGTCGGTGGCAGGATTTTCAACACTAGCTTGTCATTTAGGTCGAATTCAGTCGCTGTCTGGAGAATTCTAGAGGCCAGAAGCATTTATCGGTAGTTTTCCGTGGTTGCTCCGATCAACACCAGGAAAATGCCGAAGCAGTACCATACTAAACGGTCCACGAACTGCGCACGATCTTGCCTTCCTCTTCCTTGTCCTATCCTCACCCCTTACACACATTTACACTGACATGCACTACACTACCACACATGCTGAGAGACTGGTCGGGAGCTCAGAGCTTGTCCCGGTTTCGGCGGTGCCCCGCTGAAGAGAGATACCTGGTTAGGGAAATCCCAGCTAGCCGACAGTAGGTTGGCGCCGGATCTCGCCATACTGAGGAGAAGACCACCGTCACCTCCAAAGGAAAATCACTACACTTACGGGACTAATGACCTTAGTAGTTGACGTGTCGGGAATCACTAACATTCAATCAATCAATCCATTAGATCTTATGTATACACACACGTACGCTAACATGCACTACACTTCCACACATGCTGGGGCGGAGACCCGCTGGTGAGCGATACCTAATTAGGGGAAAACCCACTGTAGGTCGGCGCTGAACTAGCCCACTGTGGGTCTGCGCCGAATCTCACCATCCAGCGGGGAAAACTACCGCCACCTCCCGGGCAAAAGCATTACACTTACGGGACTAATGACCTTGGTACTTGACGTTCCAGAAATCACTAACATTCAATCAATCAATCAATCCATTATATCGTATGTTTTCTGCTGAACGTCTGGCCAGGCAAGCTAGCGACTCCTCGGCGGTGGGAGTGTCACACCACAATATAACTTGTCTAAGAACTGTTCTATTATTTGTATCATACAATCAGACTAATTTAAGAAAACGTTTATCTGGAGATTTAATCCATAGCGTACTCCATTATGTAATAATCGATAATCCATTATGTAGAAACAATAAATAAGAAAAATACAATTATTTTGACGCTCCGATATACCGCAACTTATCAATCATTTCATACCGACTGTTAATCAGTTAATAACGATTTTCGGTAGACCAGAAGACGCGCGGAGATTATACTTCTCGCCCATACGTCGCATACAGGTTTTACTATATTTCAAGAAAATAAGTGAAATCAAAACGATTATTTGTTTTATGGTGACGATAGCAATTGATGGAGAGCTGATTTCACTTACACCTAAACCAAGGGCAAGGCGTTCACTAAAAGGTGACTCCAAAGTTTTAACTCACACTAAATTGATCAAAGAAAATACTGAAACCGGGACCAGAGTGTCCACAAGGTGCATGGAGAACTTTCAAATAACCTTGCTTCGGAGCGAAGTCTGAGAAAGACTATGTCCCCGAGGTCTTTTTGCTGACGCTACGGTTTGCAACGGGCCGCCAAGCAATGCGGTCGCACGCCACGGCACGGCCGGGGAGGGGAAGGGGAAGGAGAAAAGCACACAGGGGAGGCTGACCCCTACCTCCGCGGAGGTCGCCGGTCGTAAAAGTAGCCATAAACGGACGCCGCCACGGCAGACCGCCACTGGAGCACGTTGCAGCCCACAGAGCAATAAAAACCTCGAACAAGACCTGCGGGGCTTGAGTCTCTTTTGTAGTTCATTTTCAGATAACTCTGTTTACGAGAAAGATGACGAGGAGGAGAAGCAGGAGGAGGAGGAGGAGGAAGAGAAGGAAAAGGAGGCTGAGAAGGGGAAGGAGAGGGAAATTGAGAGGGATTAATTGATTGCTAAAGTCATTTGTCCCGTAAATGTAATGCACTTTTTTTGCTCGGCAGATGGTGGAGACCTTGCCCCGCTGGATGGCGAGATCCGGCACTTACCTATCGTCGGCTAGTGGGGTTTCCCCAACCAGGTATCTCCCACCAGTGGGGCACCGCCCAAGCCCCGACTGGTCCCCCAGCATGTGTAGTAGTGTAGTGGATGTAAGAGTAAGTGTGTATAAGTAAGGCTTAGGATAGGACAAGAAATGGGAAGGAAAGATCGGGTGCGGTCCAAGGCCCGTTTGGCAGGGTCTGCTATGGCATTCGCCTGATATTGATAGGAGAAACCACGCATAACTACCGGATAGAGCAGCCGGCCGCTAGAATTCTCCTCCAGGCGGCGGCAGAACTTGACCAAGCCATCTGGCTAGTGTTGAAAATCCGGCCACCATCGACACTCCAGCCTAAAGACTTCCAATCAGGGGTACCTCTCCCGGTAAATTGAGAGTGAGAGGGAGGAGTGTGTGTGTGTGTGTGTGTGTGTGTGAGTGAGAGAGAGAGAGAGAGAGAGAGAGAGAGAGAGAGAGAGACGGTGAATTCCGCCAAAACCTCGACAAGTACTGACTGAACATTATTCAAGAAACTACATCAACAATGATTTTGTTGATCTCTCCGTTTTTTCGAAAATTGAACAAAACCAATCATGTGTTACCCGGACTGTCGCACTCCCAACGAATAATAAAAACACTCTTCGAATCAAAATTATTTTCCAAAATTAAAATATCTTTACAGAATATCAATCACAAAGAAAAGGAAAAGAAGAAGAAAAACCTGTAAGAACACGACTGGAAAGATCGTAGCAAATTGAAGGCTAGGATGCGCGGCTCTAGCTTGTAATAAATTCGCAAAAACTAAACTAGAGGTGCTACAGAATAGCAGAGACTTTCCCGTATTAGTTTTCTATTTCCATTGGTCTCGGCTATAAATTTGGGAAAAAAATCCTACGCATGGTTTAGGCGATATTAGTGTTCACAGACGGACGGACGGACGGACAGACGGACGGACAGACGGACGGGCGGACAGACGGACGGACAGACGGACGGACAGACGAACGGACAGACGGACGGACAGACGGACGGACAGACGGACGGACAGACGGACGGACAGACGAACGGACAGACGGGCGGACAGACGGACGGACAGACGAACGGACGGACGGACAGACAGACGGACAGACGGACAGACGGACGGACAGACGGACGGACAGACGGACGGACGGACGGACGGACAGACAGACAGACAGACGGACGGACAGACAGACAGACAGACGGACGGACAGACGGACGGACGGACAGATGGAAGAACAGACGGACGGATGTTTTGAAAAAAAATGTTTCCGGTATCAGGGGATCCCAAAACGTGTATTTCCGTTGAAATCTCGAAATCGATTTTCCGCAGCATTACATCACTTTCCCTATACTACGTATATTACTCCGTATATACGTACGTATACGGGAAAGTAAAAAAATAAAAAGTTGAATTTCAACAGAGCCTATTTTAATGTTAGCATCAATTTGTTCGTTTCATAGAGTTACAAGTAATTATAATCACATTTAAGGTATACAATTATTGGAAAAATTAATGCAATAACAGACTGCTGTACCGCGACATAAAATTACGATAATGATTTTCGCTAGTTCTAATTTCGTTTTCATTTTTTTTCTACCCTTTTCCCATCAGTGCCATCGTCGGGCCCCTTGATTTGAGAGGCACCGGGCGGTCGCTCGGTCTAACCATGCCCAGCGCCGGCCCGGAGAACGGGCTACCCAGTGTCTTCTGAAGATTTTCACTTACCCTCGAAAAATAAAAATAAAAATATTTTTAGAAAACAGACACACATGAAGACTGACACACACAGACAATCGATATTACGGTATCATGGACGCTTTTCATGACGAAGGTGTCATTTTTGCTGAACTCTCTGAGTTTTCGAAACGTCCAAAAGTTAGAAATAAATGCGAAAAAAAAAATGTTGGAAAACCACTACTTTCTTGATGGAATCTGTACATCACAATTAGACATAACATAATATTATGTTCAGAAAATAGGAAATGCAAATGTTCATTTTTTTAATTGTCGCGAAAATTCTTTTTATCTGTGAGACGAATGAGGGTGCTGTGAATGTTGTGATAAATGGAAGTACATGAGATTGTATCCTAGCATGGGAAACGTATATATTTTACAAGTGAGTAAAATATACAGTTATATGCGAGTTAGTTCCTTATTCATCCGCGCTTTAGTGTGAATGAATAATCAATTGATGAGCACATAATGGCATATTATCAATATGCAATGTTTAATCTTACCCGATCGTCTTTTAAAGATTTGGATTTATTTTTTCTCAATATATGCATATAATAATTGGTGTTGACTATGACGATAAATGATATGAACTTTGGTGACAGCCAACGCGTGGTTTGCTAAAATTGCAATGAACACTCATTAAAAGCATAAAGTGAACGAATTGCAAAGGACGATTAAAGAAATTCATTAAAGAATTACAATTGAAGACACTAAGGCTGAGGAGGAAGAACAAAAAAGGAAAAGTGAAGAAGGAAAAGGAGAAAAGAATAAAATAAAGGAGAAGACGAAATTCAAGGAGAGGACGAAATATTTATGTTCAAGATTAATAACCTCTATTTATGATAATAGCAATACTTTGTATCGACCGTATTGTTTACCAAACTGTTGCTAGCCAACATTTAATACGTCAAATACAGTAAAGAGCAATTTTACTCACTGGAAATGCGTAAGAAAATAGCATGTATACAGGCGATCGGATACACTTTGCTGTTTGGAAATACTTTTTCGGTTTAAGTAGTATATCGTAATACTAAGAGATTACAGAAAAATGATCACTTGAAAAATTGTTTGAATTACTGAAGGAATATAAGCATAATTCATCTATTTTATTACTAAATTATTGCCGAAGAGAGAAATCTCTAATATATTTTTCAAATCCATAATTACTTTACTCGCCTTCATACTAGATACAAGTACAGTAATCTGGTATGAACACAATACCTAAAAGGATTCCTAAACTTTTATTTCTAAAAACTCTGCTAAAATAAATTAAAAACTAGCCTTAATATCACAAATATTAACTTTTTATTACGTGTATTCATATCAGTATATCTTATGCAGCTCTTGATAGATCACAGCTCTTAAGTAGCATAAGGTCAACGTGTGCCCAGCGGGACCCGTCAGGTGACAATTTCCGAACGCCAAATGCCATACGGCACTAATGACTATGTGCAAATCCCAGCGCATCTCCAACCCAACAGCAATGTATTATCTAACAGCATTTTAGTGCGAATTTCAATTTTTGTTCCATTAGCGTTCACCTTGTTTAAAAACTGTAGAGAAATATATTTGAAACAAAAAAAAATCCTAAAATCATACTTCAATGTTATCAGGTCGAAAATCAATTTCCATGTTTTTCTATTTGAATTTGGCGTCAAAATTGATTCACAAAGAATACCTCTAAATTGAACTATTTTTTCCTCGAGATGCAATTTTTCAGCCTAATACATGCAATAGAAACATCACGCATCTGCAACAAATGGCGCGGAGACTAATTTGTAGATCAAAGGCAGTTTAAAATTCTTTTCAAGTCCGCGAATATCGATTTTGTTTGGGGGCACTTCACCGTCTTATACGGTATTATCCTTGTGTGTAATATTTAAAGTTATAAATTAACCTTAATTTATAAATTGCTAAGGAATTTTGGAACTTATTTCTACAGTAAACATTGTAATTTTAGGAGAGGTACATTTAACAATTTGGGCAACAAACTTCACAAATTAACTCCCAAAACTGTAGGAAACTCTTGCTAGTACATACAAAGCTTGTTTAAGTATCAGGCACGAGATCCGATTAGCTAAAATTTCCGCTTTATAGAAGGAAAATGAAGACTAGAATTTTAGAATTTACAAGTAATTTTTAATCATACCATTTCATCAATTTATTATATTTAACAAAGAAAATTCATAACAAATGTACTTATAAATGCTCTTCCTCTATCTCTTCCAGATCTTCCTCGAAGTCGTCTTCTGCTGTAGCTTCTTGATATTGCTGGTATTCAGAAATGAGGTCGCACAAGTTTGATTCTGCCTCGGTAAATTCCATTTCGTCCATGCCTTCGCCCGTGTACCAGTGCAGAAAAGCCTTGCGCCTGAACATAGCAGTGAACTGCTCCGATATGCGCTTGAAAACTTCCTGAATTGCGGTGGTGTTGGCCATGAAGGTAGCGGCCATTTTGAGGCCCCGCGGCGGAATGTCGCAAACCGCCGTCTTCATGTTGTTGGGAATCCATTCGACGAAGAAGCTACTGTTCTTGTTCTGCATGTTCATCACCTGCTCGTCCACTTCCTTCATCGACATGCGACCCCTGAACACTGCGGCGACGGTGAGGTAGCGCCCGTGGCGGGGGTCGCACGCCGCCATCATGTTCTTGGCGTCGAACATTTGCTGCATGAGCTCAGCCACGGTCACGGCGAGGTACTGCTGGCCGCCACGCGCCGTCACGGCAAGCCGCACGAAGAAGTCCAGCCTGCGGGAAAGCACATGTTCACAACGGCCAACTTCCTCAGGTCGGCTGTTCACTGAGCTGGCCAGGGAAGCGCAGGCAGGTGGTGACCGGGACTATCAGTGCAGGGAACGCAGGTGGTTCCAAGTCGCCGTAAGTGGTTCGTCAGCTTCACGTGTGCGGGGAACAGATGTCGTACAGGCTTCGTGTCCGATGCACGAAGTCTCGTGCGGTTCTCGACAATGCTGATTGGACCGACAAGTGGCGTTGTCACGGCTTCCACGATCACGTGTCCGACACCTTTCGGGGGAAGGCACGACACGAGTACATCTCATGCATCCGTCGGTACTCCTCGCTGACCTTTGAAATGAGCAACGTGCCCCATGCCGGAGCCCGTGCCGCCGCCCACGATCGTGCGTAGCGAAGCCCTGCAGGCAGTCGCACCCTCGCCGCCTTCGACCACTCCAGCACGGGCGGTCACGAGTCGCGCCCTCCTGTATGGCCCTGTCCCAGTTGTTGCCGGCGCCGCTCTGCCCGTTCACGAAGTTGTCGGGGCGGAACAGACGGCCGAAGGGGCCCGTCCTCACTGCGTCCATGGTCCCGGGCTCCAAGTCGACGAGGACGGCGCGTGGCACGTACATGCCCTTTGAGCCCACGTTGTAGTACACGTTGATCCTCTCCAGCTGGGTAGCGGCGTCGCCGTGGTAGGATCCCGTAGGATCAATGCCATGCTCCTCGGAGATGGTTTCCCAGAACTGGAAACGATAAGGGGGCAACTTTATTTAGATAGTTGTCAAGGCTATTAAATAGCACTCTTAATACTTGTACGACAGGCAAGGTAGTTCGAGCAATCAATAACTACCTAGTTTAACAAATTTAAGCGTAAGAACTCTTGACAAAACTTTTTTAATGTTAAATAGAAAGTTTCAGAAATATATTTTCTTTAAATTTGCAATGCTTTCAGCATTGTATTAATGGCACTATTGGAATTTCATCTACCTATTAAATACTATTTTTAACGTAGGCATTACGTTACTTCGTATTAATCACGTTTTATGATTTTCGTACTACACATGATTAGAAATGTGAAGCATTAGATTTTTAAAACGTGCATTGTGTTAAAAGCAAGCACAAAAGCATTTATCGTACGTTACAAAAAATAATGTTTTCGTTATTCTTACCTTCGACCCAATCTGATTTCCGCATTGCCCAGTCTGGATGTGAACAATTTCCCTCATCTTAAATATATTGACTCCCAGACCTAATGCGAAGCAGTTCTGTTTATTTGCGGCTTCCGGAACGGACTGGATGAAATGAGCGTGTGGATGTTCTTTTATCAGTGCGGAGGGGAATTTGCTGTCGTTGCCTACCCCTTTGCCCCCCTTTTGTGGTTCCCCGGGAGGGAACTTTCCCCTCCTTGCTTACCCTCCCTTCTCCATCCACACCTCATCCCCTGCGTCAGTCCCTTCCAATGGCTGACTCTCCTGATAGTGATTGGACGACTGGTCCGATCTTTCCCGTCTTTTCAACCGTTGGAACCGCAGGGCCAACGATTGATTTTGAATACACGAAATATAAGTATTAGTATGTCAGCGTTACCGTACTATTTTGGACGTCAAAGTTAAGCATTACTTTTCCATTTTAAAATATTTTCGCAGTAACTTTGCCAGTTTTAAAAGTCTCTTTGTCTTTAGAGCTTTATTTCCTCTGCAATAATAGATTTTCGCGCCATACTGAATAAAATAAACTTGACACCATAGCTAGTTTCGAAATATTTATGTTCAATTTTAAAAATACCTCTTATCACAAACGTAGATAATTTTAAAAAATACGATAGTAAATTGTTTAATAGTATGTTTCACAATATTCAAAATAGTAGAATACGTAAACGGCTTGATAATCATCTTGATTTTTACAAAATGAGAGAAGAAAGATGATTTAATGAAGTCAACAACATAACAATTGGATATGGTAAAAGAAATGTTGCATTTTTTATGAAAAAATTACTTTTATAATTACAAAATTTGCTAATTGCTGATGGAGATTATAAAATTGTGATTCCTTTGGAAGTTGGATAACGGCAATGAACAAAAATATGGAAATATCGTAGGACTTGATTTTAATAATTAAAACATTCACAAATAATATTCCAAAGAATGACAATCATTTACAAATACATGTTATTGTAAAGAAATTAAAAAATAAATTTCCAAGAAAATACCATTTTATTTGAAGTTCATTCCTTTTAGATTTAGAGTTCACATAACGTAGACTTCCTATAGAAACACCAAAATTACAGAACATGTTGCACTGACAAGTTTTTGTAAGTAAATGGTGTGAAAATGTCACTTTTCTGCAACACTCCAAGGATTATTTTTCCAAACCGACTTTGCCCACTTTTCCCGTACGAAAAGGTTATACTTTTCTATGATAGTCTGAAAGTCTCTTATCAGTTAAAGAATTAGGGGACTGGAAAATTGAGAAAGAGTAAAAAAAAATGTTTTAGCAAACAACTTAACACCAATACAATATATAAACTGTCGTCCCCCACCAATCTGTATTAAATAGTTCTTCTCCTTCATCTTCCTTTTATCTCAATCCTGATTTTCTAGAAACTGTAGAATAATAACCCAAGACACAAATAATATTTTCTACGAAGTTCTATGGATAATAAGAGACCCTAAAAATAAAGATTTTCTTCAAATTTCTTCGTGTATACTATGACTTACCTTATTCCTTCATTTCCTATTGTCTGAACTAGAAGCATTTGAGGAAGGAAGTGAAAATAGAACTTGTAAAAATAGTTAGGAAGGTTGGGAATTTACTCTACTCTTTTTACGATGTACTTCAATTTTGCAAAAACCAAATTTAAAAAATTAATGTAAATTACTAAGGGATGAAATTAAGATTGAACATTTACAGGGTTGGGCAGTATCTGAAATACACATTTTAAATAAAATTTGCATTTCAAAAACGGGATTTCTGCGTTTTTTGGACATATATTTAAACTTAAGGCTAATATTTACTAGGCTGTCCGGGTGACGCCGCGTCCTTGGCAAAGGTGCCAACGTTTCGGTCGCCATTCTGCGACCTTCCTCAGGGCGTAATGCCCTGAGGAAAATGGAAAAGTCTCATTTTGAAATTTAATGTAAATATTTTTTTTGTACGTTTGGTGAAAATGTATTTTTCCGTGAAAACAAACTTGTAATCATTGTTGGTTTTTTTCCACGTATCAATTATCTCCTTTCGATTTCAATATATCATGTGGCATTTTTCATCAAATATGAAGAGCAGCAACCCCTGACTGCTGACTTTCACAATACTCATCATTTTCAGTATCAGCTTGGTTAATGCTTAGGCCAGCTATATTTCTATAGAAAGATAAATTTTCATTTTGATACAATACAGCGCCAAAACATAGTGACACAAGAATCTCTGATTGTTGGATTGGAAAGATCGTACTTTGCAACGAAATGAAGATTATGGAAAGATCGCATTCTGATAATAACGAATTATGATCAAGCCCTCTTGAGTGAACAAAAAACGCGTTTTGGTACACATCATTTTATAGAATGTCGCATAACTGTGACGGACCTCTATTGAAAAAATATCTCGTTTTTCACCAAAGGTGGAAACGTCACGTTTTGATACTAGAGCCCTCAATTCGCAGATTCTAGCAATGTTAGAACGTTTTTGCAGTTATTTCTGCAACATTGACATTTGATGTATTCGGAGATAACGCACTGGCATTGTTCTCATCCGTTCGTCATTCTTGTCAGTGCTGCGGAAGGAAACAATCTGAATGTTTTCCGCACACAATTCGGTGGCATCGTATCATATATAACATCGTCAAGCAACTTGAGATAGACTCAGAATTCTTCTGAATGCTTTGAGACCCCCAATAATGCATAACCAACTTCTTAAATAAATGAACACCGAATAATAATAATAATAATAATAATAATAATAATAATAATAATAATAATAATACATTGAAAGAAGAAAGAATAATACATAGAAAAATAGAAATGTCGGAGAAAAATAAGATTCAACAAAAATGCCTACATTTTTTTGTGCTGGCAGTATTAAGAAGGCGCGCCGCTGCGATAAGACGATTCCTGCAAGTCACTCCTGCACTATTGAACAAAATCACACTCCACATATGAAATTTTAAAAAAGGCACTATTTTATGACTTTATATGTCCTTAAGAAATAGCTGGCCACTCTCAGTAGCTAAACTCAGTTGACAGATTTCTCAGGCAAAAGTGAACAGAAAGCGATTCGCCGATCCGGTGGCCGAGATCGCTAAGGCAGTAGTGCCGTAGCGAACTCGGACCGAAGGATCGCGGGTTCGAGTCCCGCCTCGGGCATGGTTGTATTGTGTTTCGTCCTTTCACCCCCTATCATCATCATTATCGTGTCAACCCACAGTTACCATACCGTTACAAGCAATAGTGGTCGCTAATGACCTAGTAGTTGATGCGACCTTAAATAACAGAAAAAAAAGCGCTTCAAACATGACCCGCGTACGCGATGCAGAGGTAAATTGACAGGAAAAGGCACTTTAATATATTGCGCTATTATTTTAACTTTTACAAAAATAAAATACTTTTTATATCTTAGAGCGCCAAAACTGAGCTAAAAAAATCACCATCAACAGGAAGACAAGAGAAATTACCTCAGGAAAGGAATCATGTGTCAAGAAAGATTTCTAGCAATTCGAATTCATTTCCGATTTGTTCAGTTACCCACTCATCAGGATAAGTTTATTGTTCTGGGGCAAAAGTATATCCATAATTTAAACTAAATCTAACAACTATTTTTTGTTGGAGGATGCACAAAATTGCATTATTATTTTTGTTATCTGTTCAACAGGTTTTGTGTGTATACAGTGAGTCTCACCAACTATGAGCCACCCCATTACTTCTAAATAGTTCACGATTTCAAGATGTGATTTTCGCTCAACAAAGTGGAATCACGGGGCAAATAATATGCCATAGGGATATTGTTGGAAATATTTTTAGTTTCCTAGAAATTTAATAATCTTTAATTTTTTAATGGAACCATGTTTTTATCTCACTAGCAATAGATAGATCATAAATAGATGAATGCAATGATGTAACACATGTTATTGTTTTGATAGTATTTTGAGTGTAAAATAATACTTTCTGTCATGTGATTTTAAATTAAAACTTCCGGATTTCCTGTTTCTCCGCAAACCACGACTGAATCGAAGCCGATTTATAAATAGAAGACTGGTCCTCTTGGAATTGAATTACGAATACCCTGATGCAATTGCCTTACTAATGGGATCGTGATATCTTCAGTACGTGGATGTACTGGAGCGGCATTTAAGTGGCCTTCGATTCTAGGGATCCTTCCAATCCCACGAGATGACATCCAACCCCAAATTGCTTCTCAGTAACGACCTGACCTCGGTAATTGCTTTACGTACCGAGAATCATAGTGGATTTCTTGGGGCCAGAAAACGCGAACAGGTCCTCGGATCATTTGCGGAGGAGAATATACTCTCAGAGAAAATGACATCATTCCAGTCTCTATGTAAATTTTCGGAAGAAAATGCTAGGCGATAGAGCTTGTGTTCTTTTGTCTGCTTCGATTTTCAAGCTGCACTTCTGGATCGCAGACCAGCCTCCGAAAGTCTGTTGCGTATGGTTCTGGAACATCCAGGAAATCTGGTGTTTTTTCGCACTTGTGAAGAAGTTTGAAAAGGGTTTTCCACCGCTGATTGTATCAAAACTTCATCTTGGGAAGCATTTGAAATACGCCAAAGCCCCGTACCTTCCTTCCAGATTCTCCCGTCTCTCAATAACTTTTAAGCCAGTGTTGCACGGTTCTTTCTGAAACAGAGAGGTGACTCTCTTCTACTAATGCGATAACTCGCTCTCGTGTGGCTTGGCTATGTAGGACACTAGAAGTTATGTTTATTTTGTTTTGGGGCGCATCAACTACTATAGTCATTAGCCCCAAAAGGGCATAGCATTAGCCCTTTGTATGCTGCGCTGCTGTAGTATGTTATATTTCGGGTGTTTTCCGCTAGAACGTGAAATCCGGCGCCGATCTACAAGCCACCTTTCCCCTTCCACGTATCTCTGCCAGCGGGGCAACGTCCGAGCCGGGACAAGCTCTAAGCGAGTCTCCCCATATAAATAATAGTGTCTTAAGTGTGTGTGTGTGTAACAGAGAGAGTATACGAGGAGAGGATAGTGTGACGTAGTGAAATAAGAAATAAATTTCAATAACAAAATAAAAATAATATATTCAAAGATTATGTACAAGTTACAATGAATTGCTAATATTAAAACACTCCGGCAACCTTTTCCTTTCGGAACACTGCTTTACCGCAGAAAATACAAGCCACGCGTGATGCGAGCTGTCGGACCTCTGTCCCGTGACAATTACCGTCACATGGCCTGACGCCAAAAGTTAACCCGGTCGTGGCGACCGTGTGCCTACAGCACGTGAGATTGTCTGGCCCTTACTCTCCGGACATCTCGCCCTCACTCCTACACCCTCCTTGTACATACACGTACAAGCTACCCGATGCAAACTGAATGAGAACGCGGGCGCAGATGGCGCCGCGTTAAATAGTTGAGGCTGACACCCCCACCACTGTTCCATAGATAGACTCGCACTGGCGCGAGGCTCGCAGGCCAGCCTTTGGTTTACGCCCACACACAGAATTCTCAGGTTGGCTCGCCTGCTTCCGGTTGAGGCACGCTAGCTAGCCTCCTCGGAGTTTACAGCCAACGGTATTTTTGTGGCTCTGCGGCTCTACGTGAGTCAACCGCCAGAGCGCAAACTCCGGATGTTCAGGCTGAACCCCTTCCTCCCCCGCAGCGTACTTTCACCAACCTAACGGTTCTGGCCCTCGTGTTAACGACGCCACAATAGGACAAGTTTGGGGAAGTAAACGTGCGCTGTTCGTGACCTGATTGGTATAACACTGCTTTGGCATTCAGCTAATATTATTCCGATAAACAACGGAAAATACCGAACAGAGTAAGCGGCTGGTAGAATGCTCCTTCAGTTAATGGTTGAAAGTGGCCAAGCTAGAGACGAAAATCGGCCAGGTCTCGAACCTTAGAATCTTCCTGTAAGAGATGCTGCAGGGGGGAATAGCTGTTGCCCTGAGCCATCTCAGCCGTCCACGGGGATCCTTGTTTCCTAAAGAGTAGCCTTCATTCTTCATTTTGTTACCAATAGGTACTCTTGCAAAAGAGGGGATACTGGAAGCCCATGGAATTAACACGTCAAATCAGTATTGAACATCAAATGTCTAATATTGCTATATTCCAAAAACTTTACATAGAATGACAGTAATACAATTATTCTGGTGTATTGAATACGGGATGTAACAAAACATCTGATGTTGTAGTGCTTGTGTTGGTATTATCAACGACACTCAGGAATGTGGCTTAGCTCCCTCTCTCGCGGAAATTGTAGAAAATGGGTGTGTCACCTATTTTAAAAGATCGATATAATAGCTGAATGGATTATGATACAAGTATGAAATTTACGGAATAAATAACAAATAAAAAGAGAACATAGAATAGAGAAAAAGTAGATTTTTTGACTTTATGGGTTAGCTCCTTCTCTTACTGGACGCCTCAATTGTCGCTTCCAAGGAGTAGAATGCCGTTTTTTTCAATTTTTGTGCGTAAGTTAACTGTTTCGAATCACGAAGATAGCAACCAACTTTCCATCAATAATTGTAGAAAAATGTTACAACGTTTTGTAAAAATATTGCACCGTTGTGAGCATGTGAGAGGGGTGGAGGGTTGAGAGAGTGTGGGCAGGCTCAAGGTCGTGTGCAAGTCACCAGAGCGACGAATAATGCAGTTTTCGGTGGATTATGACTGATTGATTGATTGATTGAGCGATTTCGGGCGCGGGAACTGCTAAGGTCAGTAG